CGCGATGTACGTGCATACATACATACATGGGAGAAGGTGAAACGTACGGCTGCCTGTCATGGAAAGTATACGTACATGTGGGTTAACTCATCAGCGGTGCGGTCGTGCAAACTCACGCGAATGCTACACTCGCTCGCTAGAGAGATCTAACGATTATTATTTTTGATAACGACTTCCCGACAATTGCACATAATTAAGAGCAGAAACACGATACCGCGGATACTAATTACGCGATTATGAGAACAGCTTTATTAATTGTCGGCGTCAAAAACGATCATTCGAATCAAAAATACAAAGATTTTGGATGCTATCGAGATGCTAAGAATCAGTACACATTTTACTTTCTGAATCCTATTTTCGACTACCGCGAAATGAGATGTGCACGCGAATCGGTTCGCCAGAATGGCGTGGCGCGGGCGTTCAACGCACCTACTTCCATTCATCTGCAGGAACGAAATTCATTGCAGCTGAAATCTGACTACGCCCTAGCGTGAATTTCATATTTCGGATGCAGATTTGCGTTAAAGCAATTTAGAAAATATATTCTTGGATACTCGCTGTTGCTTTTGTCAACGGAATTTAAATAATAAGTACATTTACATAAAAGCATATTTAATACTTAAATGCATCGCATATGTTTCACTTTAAATATAATTTCTATGTAATAAAACTTTTGAAAATATAAGAATCATAATTTTTAATTTTAATAAGAAGTAGAAATAACAGAATATATTAATACTGATATATAATGATGTTCCAATTATAATGTTCATACTTATGAAAGAAAAATACTTTTAATTATAAAAATTGATATCAATTTTTCAAATTATTTAAAAAAATTTTAAATATCTGCAAGATGAAATATCATAGTAAATTTTATCATAGTAAATTTGAACTGTTTCTTTTCCTCAGATATCTCTTTTCAATATCTGTTTCAATTTTAAAATTCTTACATAATTCTAAGAGCGATGCTAAAATAAAAGAGAATATTGAATCTTAAAATGTTATAATAGCTTATATAAAGATATCGATTTGAAAATAAATGGATATGATAAATCCTAGAATCTTAGATGTATGAATGTTGAATTTTAGAATATTTTAAAAAATTGTATAATAATATTATAATATTATATGTCGATTTAAAAATAAAAAGATATGTATAATAGATGAAGATAAAAAAATGTGTTGGGTAACCATAATATTGAAACATATATGAATAATAAAATGTCTAATTTTACCTCGGACAAGGTTTATTTCGATAGAGAAGTGAAAGTGTCTGTGCGCGCGATTAGTATAAGAAAACGGAACGCCTTCGTAATCCTTGTAAATATGACGTACTTTACATTAATTTCTAAAGACGACCAAGTAATATCGAGCCGACGCGTCGCTATGATGATATACGCTTACTAGGGATGTTATTTGGATTTCATTACGCAACGGCAGACGCTATTTCTGATTTACCCTCATCGCGCGAATCGCGCGTCTCGACACGCTGAGGAATTCCAAATGGAATGTGTATGAGATAATATCCGTGACACAAATATTTTTTGGCGGAGGAAGGAAAACAGAAATTTATTAAATTCGTTACGCTGATTGATTTTATTGCACCAGGAAATTTGTTAATCAGTCACACCGCGCAATTTTTGTCAGCGAGCGCGGAAACCACAATTTTTCGACACGATAAATACTTGATACTACGACAGCAACCAATCGCGCCGACACGAAGGAAATACGATCGGCTTGCGATTGATCTGCCGCCAGAATTTCAACCGGCTAATTGCGAGGATTTTCTTTTTTGTTTTATGTTTTTTTTTTTTGGTCGGAAAAGCCGCGTGATCGAGATAGAGAGATGGAAAAA